ACAACAGCCAAGATATGGAAGCAACCCAAGCGTGTATAGGTAGATGAAAGGATAATGAAAAAGTGATAAATATACACACACACACACACACACACACGACTATTACTTAGCCATAAAAAAGAATGACATCTTGCCATTTGTGACAACCCAAATGGACCTAGAGGGTATTATGTCAAGAGAAACAAGTCAGACAGGGAAAGACAAATACCATATGATTTCACTTATATGTGGAATCTATAAAGCAAAACAATGAACAAATTCTTAAATATAGACAACAAATTGATGGTTATGAGAGTGGAGGTGGGAGGGAACATGGGCAAAATAGGTGAAAAGGGATTAAGAGGTGCAAACTTCCAGTTAAAAAACAAGTCATGGAGATGAAAAGTACAGCATAGGGAATATAGTCAATAATATTGTGATAACATTATATGGTGACAAATGGTAACTCCATTTACCAGTGGTAAGTATCCTATAATGTATAAAATTGTCCAATCACTGTTGTACACCTGACACTAAGGTAACACTGTATGTCAATTATAATAATTTTTTAAAAAGCCATGTAAATTTCTAAATTATTCTTGAGGATGTAAAGTTTAGAATTTTTAAAATTTAGATGTAAGTGTATCCTATTTTTCTCTTATGAAAATGAATTTGATAAAAAATGATAAAATGAAGAAAAGATGGGCTGAGGACTGATTACACCTACTTCTGTGAAGGAACAAAGTGCAAAGTCCCTGTGGTGTCAGTTTAAGAAAAAGGTCTCAAAATTCTAATCCTCACTACCTAAGTAGAGAATGTCTTCATATTAGAATGTTTTCAGCCAAAAGCCACAGGAACACACCCAGTTCATAAAGTACAAACAGTACTCCTATTGCATCATGTGCTTAATACGCACCAGGGTCTCTGTATGTGTATGTCTTTCTCACTCTGACACAATGGCCATTAAGATACCAGCTTAGGCTGTTCTTTGTCTTACTGACTTTGTATACAGAGTAATATTATCAAAATTGAGAGAATCTCAATCTACCAGAGACTACAATTTCAAATCAACATCAAGTCTATGGTTCTCACCTGAGCTGGACGTCTGTGAATCTATGTTTTAGAGTTGAAAGGAAAACCTGACATTGAGAACATCTAACGATAAAAAAGAAGAAAAAGAAAATGTTAAGCAGCAAAGAGGGAGAGAGTCAGATATAGGGAGAAAGAGGACAGTTGATAATGAAACTGGCTGGCTGGCTGTCAAAGATGATAACAGCTGGGAGAAGTGTGGCCAGGCTTCAAGAAGTACTGATCGCTTAGACAAAAATATCACTCATCCACCAGAGACTTCAGAATTAGAAGGGCCTGACACCTACAAAACAGAACTTTTCCTGACCACTGCTGAGGCTTAACTAGCTTTCATACCTCTTTGATGGTTCATATGTCAGGCTCACTGAAGTCTTCCTTCTACATAGCTTGGTCTTTGTTCCTCTCAGTTCTCATAGAGAGTTTCCTCTGATTTCCCCCTAACCAGAGGTACACAGCAGTGTGTTTCCCTTTGGGGGAACCAACCTGGCCTCCCGGCCTCACACATGGATCCTAGAACACAACTCTCAGCTCTGTGAACAATTTCAAAGACCCCCTTTATATTGAAGTAAGACAGTCTATTAAACACATTTATACCCACTCATGCCTCAGAAAAAATATTTTGCCCTCACATTTGCTTAATTTTTCTCTCAAAAATGTGATGAATGATTATTATTGAACTACTCAACTCATTTATTCCAATGACACATATTGGTCCCTTGGATGTAACCTGGCCTTTGAGTACATATTTTCCTTGACATGTCTTTTCTTAAAGCAAATAAAAATTATATGCACAGACAACATTTACTACAAGATTACTACAAGATTCTCTGGCTGCACATATGCCTCCTTCTGCTCTCTGGAGCCTGTTAAATTTTTAATAATTCACTTGTAGCCTTCTCCTTTCATTACCTAGGAGTTTTAACAGACACTTGATCATGAGTGGCAAATGGACCAAACCTAACAAAAACAACCCATACAAGATGACCTACTAGCAGTAAGCACAAAGAAACGACTGAGAACTCTAACTTCCCAATTTAAGTTTTTACTGGAAACTGGTCCTTACATTAAAAAATGTAAATTACTGGGGCACCTGGGTGGCTCAGTGGGTTAAAGCCTCTGCCTTCGGCTCAGGTCATGATGTCGGGGTCCTGGGATCGAGCCACATCCGGCTCTCTGCTCAGGAGGGAGCCTGCTTCCCCCACCCTCTCTCTCTGCCTGTCTCTCTGCCTATTTGTGATCTCTGTCTGTCAAATAAATAAATAAAATGTAAATTACTTCAGCCTTAAATTAAAAGTGGAAGAGGAATTAGACAATAAATACATTTTTATCATTCCCAGCCAAAGGTTTTATATCCCATTCTGATGTTATTATACTTTATAACACAAACAATGTTGCATTTTATCCACGATATTCCTGATGGTACCTGAAGGGCTCTTCTTTGTGTCTTCATGGGCCAATAAATGTTAATTGCTCAATATATGTTTGTTAAATTATCAAAAGAATAAATGGCATCTGATGAGTGAGATGACAAGGGTCAAGGTCTTCCAAATTCTTATATTCTGCATATTCAAATGCTCCCTACCTTCTTTTCCAAAATATTTTATTCAAACCAGAGACTCAGATGACAAAAATGACAATACTAGGGAAAAAATGCTTCCCTTTCTGCCTCAAACACTCAACTCTTTGAAGATGTCACACCCCTTCCTCTTTATCCAGGCTGAAGCAAAAAGACACTGTTCTCTACTCTCAACAAGCCAACATTCGAATTTCGACCCTACAGAACTACTCAACTGTCTCATTCTAGAGCTAAGTAAGTAAACTTATAGCATCCCTACTTCACCCAAATCGGGCCAGCATACTGCTGCAGTCAGTGATGCTCTTTTTCATAAATACAGAGTTTCTCATTTTGTGATTATGATATGTGTATAAACAGCTGCTTTCACGGAAGGAAAGAATCAGAAGACAGTACAGTCTTCCACTAGTGCCTTCCAGAAAACCCCAAGAAAACTTGGAACTTTAAGCTCATAGAAAGGGTATAAATCTGTCAGCAGATATTTGTATTTCTGTACATGGAGAGACAACAAGGAATAAAGAGGTCTTTGACTCCACAGCACCCACCCAAAAGATGCTATTTTTATGGATACCATTCTCTAACCTCTACCCTTACTTTCCTGAGTCGAAACTGAAGTAAAGCTGCTTAGTAGTTGCTGTACAGAGTAATCCAAGAAACCACTGCTGATATCCTAACACTAAAGAGTAGATTCATACCAAGCTTCCCCATTCATTAACAAGAAATGCAGCCAGGCTGCCCAGAAATTCCCCTCCCGAGTCCCACAGCCATCCCGGAAACATGAGAAACCAAGTATGCTGCAATCCAGGCCTTTCTGGTATTGGATCCAAAATAAACTGTGCCTAGCCTAAGACTGTAAATGAAATATTTTCCAGTAAAAAACTAAACAGCCGAAGAAGTTCTGAGGTTTCATTTAACCAACACAGCTATCACAGACAATCCTAGTACAGCGATAGTTTCCAACCTTATTTAATGATTAAAAATAAACACCCAGTAAAAAGCCTCTAATCATATGGAATTATACTATACCTTCAGGTCAGCATTACTGCCATGGATGGAAAACAAGGGCCTAAGGGTTCTTTCAGGATAGGCTCAGGATTCTCAGCAAAGATTAAGTAAGTAGTAATGTCAGAATTCTTTAGTTTGGAATCTTAAGGGGAAGGCGGGCACAGATAATAAAAACTCCTACATTCCAAGAACTGTTCTAAGCACCTTATGTGTATTTTTACTTTACACTCACCAACAACCCTGTGAGACTGATATTATCAATCCCCATTTTAAGTACTGGGAAACAAAAGAATCAAGAGGCTAATAAGCAGCTTGCTCAAAGGGTTACATAGCCAAGAAGTGGAGCAAACTGGCGGGCCTTCGGTTTCACAGGATCAAGATAAACAGCGTCCCCCAGTTTCACCAATATTCACTAAAATTATGGCCAGCAAAAGTTTCTGCAAGCCATTCTGCCCTTGCCTCTCCTTCCACAGAATTTTGCCTTTTGTCTTCCACTTTAAAGATATGCCACCACGTTCCTTTAACTTCACAGCACTCCTCTGAAGGCAACAAACATGATTACGCACAGGTTTCTCAACTTCTCCCCTAATGAAATCGTCGGATCCATGAGGTGGGTCACTGGGGATATCAAAAGTGGAAAGGAATCCAAAGACGGACTATCAAAATACAAGCGACAGCTTTAAAAGCAGGGATCTAGGAAACCAACCAGTCGGAGAGCGTCCAGCCCACCTACACACCGTGTGCCACAATGCCCCCTGGAGTAGTACCTGGAGCCTGGCAGGCGCACAACAGCCCTACAACCAATCTACACACGAGCACTCAGCGGCCTCCCCAGGCCCTGCACTCGAAAGCGCTCCACGGTGTCGGCTGCACGACAGTGAACTTGATTGTTGGAGAGGAGCGGCGGGAGGCCCCGGGAGCGGGCGCGGGCCCAGGGCTCTGCAGATAAGGAAGCTGCCAGGACCTTGCCCCGTGCCCGTCGCCTCCTCTGAGGCCTGAAGCGGGTTAGCGCACCCTGGGTCACGGATTCCCGCGCGGCGGCAGGTCCAGCCGGGGGTTCGGCCATTTCTCTTAGGCCTCGGCGGGGAAGGGACGAGGCCCCCACAACCTCGGGCGTCCGCTTCCCGCCCCCCGCTCTCCATCTTTCTCGGAAGAATGCTGCTCCGTCTGGCCCCCAGCGCCTCAGGCCCTCCCGACCCGACCCGCCCCCCGCTGTTCCGCACGGCGCCCCGCGCGCCCCATACTGGCCCCGGCGCCTGCTCCCTGCTCCCACCGTCGGGCCGCCCTGCGCCCTCCGGGCCCGCCTGGGAAAAGCGGTGAGGCCGCGTGACCCCTGACCCCGCCTGCCCGTCGCCTTACCGGCTCCGCAACCACCTGACAGGACGCCCTCGCGCTGGCCGCTCCATATCCCGGGAGCTAGCGCCAAGACGGCCAACCCCCTACACGCCCTGCGATTGGCCGACAGGACCGCAGTTGCACATTCCTATTGGCTGGATTCCTCGTATTCCCCGCAGCTGCAGGCGCGCGTGGCCGGTGGACGGCGTCCCGAGGCTCCGCCCGCCCCCGGGTCAGACTGGAGGCGGGGCCGCGGGGCCCCGGCGGGAGGTGCCTGCAGCCGGGCCATTGCCTGCGCGCGGCAGAATCGCTGAGTGCGAATTTGGAGCTTCCCACGGCGCGGGCGGTACCGGGACACGTAAATTTCCCACCGTAGTTAGCCGCTGCCTCACATTAGATACTGGCGGTCGAGCCCCTTTTTTTCTGTAGACTTTGCCTTACGAGATACGTCACCGCCTTCTAAAGTTTAGCCAACCCCGCAGGACCATTTCCTGTCGTCCCCGGAGCTACATCGTAGCGTCTGCGGCCTCACCAAAAGCAATCCACACCTGGGAGAACCGCGAAACACCAGCCAGTGCCGCCAGTTACAGCGCATCAGGTGCCCCACTCCCATCCTATCTCGCTTCCCCCCCGCCCCCCAGGCTTTATCTCTGTCTACCTAAAAGCAGTCCCACTCCAGCCCCAGCCTCAATCTCACACGCAGTCTTTCCCTGAAGATAATGGCCAGACTAGTAGTGCTTTAGAGGGAAGAAAAATGGTCTGATAAGCCACCCTCACTTTAAACAGTGTCCTTTAGACCACCCAGAAACATTTTTGACACCTCCCTATAGCTTGCATTAAAGATAACCAAGCTTATTTAACCAAATTGTAGACCTAGAAAGGAAAAGCATCACCCCCTCCAACTTCTTTCTTCATGTACAAGCTGGTAGGAGAAAATTTTATTAGATAGTAAAAAAGAGTCCAAGAGAGGATGATAGGAGAGTGAACTGCAAAAAGAAAAATCAAAATCAAGTACAAAGTAAAAAACTCAGGGACAAAAAAAGTGGGCCGAGCATCATCAGTTATCTGATACAGGCTGGTTTCCATACAGAATTTCTCCTGGAGAGAAAAAGAAAATGCACAAATTAGTTCAGAGAATCTCTCAACAAAACATCTGGGTAGTTTCAGCAAGACTTGATAAAGTCCCTCCAGACCAGAACCCCTCCTTCGGGAACCTCCGCTGCAACTAGAGAGTAAAATGGCTAGAGCCATTCTTGTCACCCTGCCAGCTCTGCTCAGCTGAGCAACCTCCTTGGGCTTTTGCATACTTGCTGGCTACTTACTGAGCTCACAGTGTGGAGCTTCCTCCATCTTAGGTTGCTTCTTCATTGTGCAGACTGGATTAGACTTTTTTCCCAGTGTCGGCTCCTGCCTCTATATATGCAGACAAGCGCGCCTCCCTGGGTTAGATAAGGGCACTTTGGCTGCCCTGAGCAATAGCACATTGGTAAAAACACCGCGGGGAGTTTCAAGAGGCAAGCCACACCCTTCAAAGCCAGATCACATTTCATCTTTGACCTGCCATGAAAAAGGAAGCATCATATATCAGCCACTCCTGGATATTAATGAACAACTAATTGAGTTTAAAAACTTCTATTCTAAGATTTCATCTTTGATCCATTTGGCAGGAGCTGGAGGCCAACCTGTGAGTACCAGGGGATGAAAGGGGTCGGGTAAAAGGAATTGCCTTCCTTCAGGATGCCACTCCCCTTAGTGTGAAGCTAGTTGGGGCACTGGTACCAGGCCAGCATGTGTGCAAGGACTCTGCTCCCCTAAGGTGTGAGCTGAAACCAATTAACCCCAAGCCTGACAGGCTACCAGTATTTTCCATAGGTGTGTGCAGCACTGATGCAATTATGAGGAGTCTCAGTGTGTGGGTAAAAATACCGCCCAGCCTATTCCTTGGGCTCTGAGGGACCTGCTGGCATCAGCCTGGTTAATCAGTGATTAATCAGCCGACCACAAAACCATGCAAACCCAGGACTGGGGTGCCTGATGGAAAAGAAAAAGAAAAAACAAAAAAACAAAAAACCCCGAGACTGTAGAAAAAACAAATCCAGAGCAAGTCCAGAATTTCTCAACCTGGGAGTAGGGGAACTGAAAGAATGAGGAAATGATGCCTCTGGCAAATAGTTTAGTGGGCCAGCTGAAGGCACAGGTGGAAAGGAGAGAGAAGGGGATGGGTGAGGAGAATGAGGTGGGATACTGGGAGGAAGAAGTTGCTGCCTTCAGAAAATTTCCTAATAGTTTTAAAGAAAATCTGCTTAATACCATGAGAAACATATGTAATAAGTGTGATAGAAAGAAATATCTTAGAATGGAAAAGAAAGAAAAGAGTAATAGATTTATATAGTCAAAGTAAGCTTCTAGCAAGTGGTTCTGCTTCCTCCTCAGAACAGCCATAGGGTCAGTAGAAGAATCTATGGATCTCCTGCCCTGGACCCAGATGAAGATCTCTTTGCTCCAGGATGCACACAAGCACTTAAAGTCATATCATGACAACTTGACCTGCTCTCTGTCCGTGTTCTGCCTCAGATGAGTTCCCTAATATAAAGCTGCCTTAGATGGGATAGGCCACCAATTTAATCCCCTTCAAAAGAAAGTAGAAGTACATATGAAATCATCCACGGGCTAAAATGTTGGAGGAAAAAGCCCTATTTTTGTTTAGGGATTCCAAAAATAGGAATGGATTTTACAATGAGACTCTACCATAGCTCCTGTTTCCTTTACTCAGCAATTTCTGCCAACATATATGCTCTACTCATTGCGGGTCTGCAATTCCTATGCCATTAATTAAATTCTTACTACGTATCTATATCAAACACCATTTTTAATGTCATGAATGTGAATTATCCTCACGATAGATTTGTAAGGCAGGAACTGTATTTTGCAGTTTAGGAACCTAAGTCTTAGGGAGGTTTCTTGCCCAAGTACATACATCTAGTTAGAAGACCCAGGCTTTGAGCACAAATCTGTTCTTCAAGAACCAGCACTCAACTACCACACCATATTGCCTCTATTGTGTACACCTAAAACAATTCCCTTTCATTCAAATCTAGTTTGAAAATGATCTTTCATAATATCCTATTGTAAGTTCCCCGAACATTCCACATTACCACCCTAGGCAACTCATTCCTGTATAGATGTTAATATGTATTTGCCTCATGTGTGCCCTTTATTGAAAGAGAAGACTTTTCTTTCCATGCCTACCTTCTACTCACTCTCCAAGTATTCTTTTTGATGCTTTTGTTTTCTCTGAAACAGCTGCCTGGATTTTAGTCCCTCCCACCCCTCCCCTTCTTTTTATTATTATTATTAATAATAATAATATTATCATCATCATCATCACTAATATTAAGCTTCCCTTAAAATATACTCCCCTGACTCCTCCAGGCAGCATTAGCCCTACATTTTCTCTTCTACCCAAGGACCTCTTATTCTACTCTATCACTGGCTCATTTTGTGTCTATTTGACAGCCTACTATATGCCAGGCCTACATGGGGTAGTACAGATACAACCACAAAAAAGATAAGCACATCCCCTTACAGGGTTATTGCTTTTGTGCATTCTTCTCCCACTAAATTGTAAGCTTCTCCACAGGGGTGATTATCTTATCTTTGTACACCTGCTGCTAACAAAGGCCAGCTCCATGGGAGGTGTTTCATAAGTATAAGCCCATTTTTTAATATGTTACAGCTGACATGTTGCCTGACAGGGCATTACAGAATAATAATTAGGATACATCTGTTTCTATGTGTGTATCTATTTCCAAAGTTGGGTCTTACCTATCCTAAAAATATTCCTCCCTTGACTTCTGCTAGCCTGGTAACGCTATTCCTGTGATAAACACTGGAAAGCACAGGCAGGCCTCCCTTTGAGAATGAAGGACTTAGGACCCCAGCTGTCTGAAGTGGGAATGCTGCTGGCAGATGGCCCTAAGCTGTCCTGTCATGCCCCTTTCTCAGGCAGCCCACACTGAATGACTGATTTATGTGAGAGTATAATGATTCAACCTTCTCATCCCTAAACAGGGACAGCTCTGAAGGTTGGCTAAGCCTTTGTCCTATATCACAGCCCAACTTCTCCTTCTGTGAAGATTTCCTTCCTTCTCTTCCCTTAGTGGTGATCTTAAGATCACTTCCTAATAAATTTGCTGCCTCCATCTAAGTTGACTTCCCTTCTTAATTCTTCCCATAACCCAAAATCAGTGTTTCTGAAAAAGTGATCTGCACTCACTCTACTTCCTCAACACTCATTTATTTTTCCACCCTTTGTGGAAATTACTTTCTTGTTAGCAAAGTGATATCATCATTGGCCATCTATGGTCAGAAATTCTTCAGCTCTTGTCACATTCGAAATGTACCACTGCTCTTCCAGCTCTTTCTTTGGATTCCATCATACTCTGTTCACTGGGTAGTTCTCTTGTTTTGTTTTGTTTAAAGACTTATTTATTTTTTTTTTAAGACTTATTTATTTTAAAGAGCGAAGAAAAGAGCATGCGCAGGAGAGGCAGAGAGAGAGAGGGAGAGTGAACCTCAAGCAGACTCTGCGAAGAGCCTGACAGAGGGTTGGGTCTCATAACCCCAAGATCACAACCTGAGGCAAAACCAAGAGTCAGACGCTTAACTGAATGCACCAGCCAGGTGCCCCTAGTTCTCCTATTTGGATTGATGTTCCTCGACTTTCTTCAATTCCTGTATTTCTCCTCTTTCCTCCTATTCCTTAAATGTAGGCATTCCTTAGGTTCAGTCCTTAGTCTGCTAACTCTATCTAATCTCTGCAACTTCAGTGTAATAGTACCAGGGCCCACCCAGCATCAGACACATTTGTGGGACAGGTTGGAATAATGGAAAGAACAAACTCTTAAGGGTAAAGTTGATCCCGATTCCAGGTCTAGCCAGCTAGGAAACCATGCGTGTTATTAAATCTTGGTGTTTCGTTTCTTTATCGGAAGAGGTCGGGTATGATACCGACCTCATAAGGATGCTCCCTCTAATTTTTTATTCCCCAAATGTACCAGTGTTCTTTCTTGCCTCCCCATCTTTTCACATGCTGTGCTTCTGTGGGAACATTCTTGGCTTATGCATCCTTCTTCTGGCTAACTCCTACTCACCACTGAGGTCTCACTTTAAATGCTTCTTTCTCCAAAAGCCTTCCATGAGCCCAGTGT